AAGCTGTTGTAGCTTTGATGATGCTCCTTGCTGACACTGAGTGGTGCAATTACCACATTTTCTGAGTCAGCTGCTGAGTGCTGGGTTTTTTACTCTGTTATTGGTATTTATTTATGTGCGTATCGTAGGCAAGTTCTGTAAAGTGTTTCCCCATTATTTGTAACACAATACCAGGGAGGGAGAGACCCAGATTTTTTATTTTTTTTAATCCAGTACCGTAAAAACTAGAGCTTTGCATTAAATCTTTATTGTGAGCAGGATTCTGTGCTTCCAACCTAGATGAAATCACTGTGGAAGTCAGTGGGAGATCTGTGTGGGGAAAAATGGTAGCAAAGAGTGCTGAAGGCTTGGAGAAACTCAGTATAAAATCATTTTGCCTTTTACTATGGGTGTCATTTATTTATTTTCACAAACCCCAGTTAATTAGCCTTTTGTTCCTAGACTTACCGAGGACCCAGTGCTGTTGTGGAGAGGAAAAAAGAAAAAAAAAAAAAAAAAAAGTAAAAAAGAAACCATTTGATCCATTTATTGGTGTGATTGCCGTGTTCGGCAGAGTAGAAAGCAGCTCGAGTGGCTGCTCATACACGTGGTATTCTTATAAATCTTTTTGACTGCTTGTGATTTTTTTTTCAGGCTTATTTTTCTGATAGAAATATTTTAAGATTGGTCTGAGTTCAGGAGCAAATTGTTTGGAAAATTTGGTGCTAAAATGGGTTCATCTGTTTTCAAAAACGAAGTGACAGGGAGGAGAACACATTTTCACCCCTGCATCAAAATGCTGTCTGAACCTTGAGTTTGTAGATGACTGATGAAAGAGGCTGGGCACGCAGCTTGTTTGCTCATGTAGCGTGTCATGGAGTGAGTAGATAATGTCTAGGAAAGATCTGAACATTTCACTATTTTTTTTCATATTCCTTTTTAAAAAATACTACTATTAAAACATTAAAATATGTCAAGAGCGCATCAGGGTTACACTAGCACTGACAAAACAAAGTCAGGAGATAACCATGAAATATTATGCCTGCTCCTGGAGGTGTATATATGAGACAAACTCTTCTGTAGCATGATCCGACACTGTTTTTTTAATTTATTGTAAGACCCCACTTTGTTCATTGCTAATATTTGTCAGTGTGCTGTGAGGCCGTGTAACAATCCTGAGGCCCGAAGCACCCTAGTCCTCATGCCACATCTGGGTGACGTGTGGCATCCCGTCCATGCCAGGTCACCGTGGGGCTCCTCTCCACAGAACTTACCAGCTCTGCCAACTCAGGATACTCAGCAAAAAATGCAGTTGTCCTGTTGGGCCTCAAAAGAAATGCAAAGATACACGTTTGCTAAAGCCTTAAAGTCCTCTGGCATTTTTTTTATTTCTTTAAACAGACATATACAACATTCATGTGTGTGTACTTTGTTAGGGACATGCCCAATCCGTTGGTCCTGGCCCCTCTGCCCAGAGACTCAGTCTCCTCTCCAGGCAGCAGATCTTTAGAAAGCACTGGAGGTGTTTGGCTGTTTCACACAGTGAGTAGAAGAGGGATGGCTCTATGTTTTCCGAGTAAACCCTGGATTTTCTGGCAGAGCTAGAACAACTTAGGTTGAGTACAGAAAGTGGTGGTGACTCACGTCATTAACTGCATCTTGCCAATGGCCTCACACCATGTGAACTTTTTTCTAATTTATCTTTCTTTGGCTGGCCAGTCGTTTGTCATGTTGACAGGCAATGGCCTTGTGAGAACACTGGTTACTCTTATGGGATCACTGAGGCTGAACAGAAAATGGAGAAAATAGCAAGCAGTATAAAACTGCTACTCTGTCTCTAAACCAGGTAGGTGGAAAAAAATGGTCATTGTGAATCTGTTTGAGCATGAGGATATAACTATTCCGTTGGCATTAAGCAACCTCATCTACCTCAGCTTTAAAGAAAACCCTAAAGCAATGAGATAAATTTCATAATAGGTGAGGAGGAAATAGATGTTCCCAGGCTGTTGTCTATCCTTGAACTGAGCATACCGACTCAGAGAAAGCGTAGGTACATAGAGAGGAGCACAGAGAACATGTAAGCCATTCCTCTACCTAGATCCAGCAACACTATGAAAACATGCCCAACTATTTGTTTTCAGAAGATCTCAAATGCCCCATTGGGGTTTAGTGGAGATGTGTCAGGATCAAGGGTTACCCTTGGATGTCCTCTGAAAGCGCTTGTGAAATGTGGGATCTGAAAATCAGCCAGAGAAGATCTTTTGGGGAAGGTGAATTAAAAGGGGACTGTCAGTTGGGCCTAATCTATGGAAGAGATTAAGAATGAATTTTCTGGAAAATTTACAGATAAGGAGTCTGTGTCTTGATCTGATAGAGGAGGGTATTGTACAGGATTCATTCACATCTCCATGGCATCTTAAAAGGCTAGCTCTGAATTTTCTAGTTTGAGAAAGGGCATAAACAGAGTTTGTAGATGGGCAAAACCAGGTTGTGGTGATAGGAACAGCCACAAGCAGAAGCAAAGCCAATGTGAGGGTAACCCTAAAAATTGAAAGTATTGTGGGAGATGTCACCAAAGAGTTTTCATTATGATTGAATATTAATTAGTGACATGGCTATTAATGATGACAGTAATTAACAGAGGAAGGAAAGACTTGTCATTGTCCCGAGGGTGAGTAATCAGTCTTGGCAGGTGATAAATAATGGTTCAGCAAACTCAGCAGAAAGATAATCTGTCTGCCTCAGGACAACAGGAGAACAGCTATAAAATCTTCCAGGCTCTTGGCAACACTCAGGAATGACTTCATATTTTTAACAGAGAGGAATTAAAATCCGTGATCTCAAGTGTTGCCTATATGCTGCAGTGACTGATGGCAGTAGTTCTGGCTGAGCTGATGTTTTCAGTTTGCCACTTTAAACCTTTCTTTTTTTAAACCTTAACAAGCTGGGGAAGGAAGGCTGGTGAAATCTGCTTTCAGCACTGTGTTTTAGTTTGATGCAAATTCCTCAAAAGAAAAGTAGAGCTGGGGTCATGATCACACTGTGGAGAGTTAATTCTGCATTAAGTATTCCTGTATATTTGGAAAGGGATTGATCAGTACGCACTTCACCTCCCTTGCTCTTGAGCAAGACAATGAACTTCTCTAGGAGATTTTCAGATTTGAGCTGTCACATCACTTGAGAATAAAATGACTAAGAGAGTATTGCAAGCCTGTGATCTGAGGCCAAAATCAGAACAAATTGTGGATCTTCTTAGTCTGGGAGAACAAGAAATATTCTGGTTTACCTTGAACCAAGACAACAATTGTGAGTTTTTGTTTGGTTCCTGGCAATACGGAAGTGCTTGAATTTGAGTCTTCTTGAAATATTCTTGTAGCCCCAAGTGTCTGTTATATCTTCAGGCTATTTTTGTGTTATAAAAGGCAAAAGGGAAAATCCTTCTTTGTTAATAACATTTTCTGTTTTATAAACATGTCAAACGCAACAGTTACTGACTGAATATTTTCCCCATATATTTTTCAGCTCCAACTGTTCACTGGACATGTTTTCATTTAGCAGGTAGTTTTGGCTCCCTCAGAACTCTTTTTCTAAGTAAATTTATTACTAAGTAAATTTTTTACTCAACTCTTCCTGAGTCTTTGCTGCTTAGCCAGTGTAACAGTATGTCTACATGATATTTCAGAGGCAGACACTGTGACCCAGCTGGGCTGGGCTCAGCTCTAGAAAGCACATCTGGGCCAGGGGTACTTCATCTCTGGCTGGCTCAAACCCTGCCTTACATGCTTTTATCTGCCAGCAAAACACCAAGAAAACGTCCCACGTATTGAACATGTAGAACGATGTCCGTGGACAAGTCAGGGCTCACTACAAATCTGGTTTATTGCACCAGACATTAAAGCACAACATTTTATGGGTGAGAGCCAATGCATTCTGTTATTCAATTGTGTAATGTTACTTTAGTGAAAGGATTGCTGATTTCTTGGCTGTCTATTGTTTATGCAGGGTGTGAGAAAATGAGCTAAAGCAGTGGTCAGCTAGGACTCTTGAGGTCTGTGAGGCTGTAAATTAGTTCAAATGGGCTCTGTTGGGGTTCCACCATGTGAATGGTTGCAGGTCATCCTAGTTCCTTAGTGCCAGAAGAAGAAGAAGACATCACCAAGAGAGATTTACCACCAGCCCAGCCACGACACAGCGCTCCTAGGTGGCTCCCACCTGTGGAAAATGGCTCTAAGATCTGTCCAATGTTTGTATGTGCTCTGTGTTCTCATGACCATACAGATATTTCTTATCCATGCTCAGTGTGCTAAGCACTGACTGTTCATATAGAGAGATCCTAAACCACTGTTTATAAGATCGTAACAAGTTTTGTTACTGCTTGATGACCCCTGAAAACCTAATTTAAAAATAGAAATAAAAAAAGGAACTTAAAGACCTTTTTCTCTGCTCCTGGCCACCATGCTGCTGGTGGGATCACTAACAAGTGCCAACTCAGCAGTGGCTTGGTTTCAGACACACTTAGTCCCGCTTTCTAGCACTTGTCTTTGACATGTGCTAGACTTTTCACTGTGTTTTTTTTTTTGACTGATATCTCAGTTCTACACGTACAGATGATTGCCCCTGACATTAAAGGTGCAAGGTGACAGTAACTGCTCCTTTGTCCCCTTGCTGGGCAGTGCTTTCAGAAACAGTTCCCCGTATGCTGAGGTGACAGAAGCTGTTGGGGAAGAAGAGGTTACATGGAACCATTAGAGTAATATTTGACTTAAGGTGTAGCAAGTCTGCCATTGCACAGGGGAGTACTTGGGCTTAGTACCTATCAATAAATATATAATTACAGTGTGGCACTGGAAGGACATTTTGAAATCTCAGTAGAGCTAAAAAGGAAAATGGAAAAAATTCATGTCAGTTCTTTTGTATCTCATCTCAATGTTATCTCTCTCTAGGGCTCTCAGAAACCTTTTGGTCTTGGTGTTCAGTGCTTTCTTTTCTTTTTATATTTCCTTTTTGTTTTGTTGTTACAGGTGCTGATATTGTACAGTGGCTTATGAAGAACCTCAGTATCGAGGATCCAGGTAAGGTGACTACAGCTGGGGACAAACAGACCCTTAATCTGTATTGTGTGTGTGCTGTAGGACAGTGGGTACTGTTTTGCTGCAGTGTATATACCAGAACAACAAGATGGATTTAAGCATTTGAAGAAAAGAAGGAGGAAAACAGATAAGAATCAACAACTTAATTAAGTCTAATACCTTGTTCTACAACACAGAGAAAGCGCTTTGTAGGAGTCCTAGCCTGTCTGTGAAACTGCTGCTAGCTAAGAAAGTCTGATTTATTCTAAGGCTGTTCCCAGACCTGGAAAGGAAGTTGGTAGATGTGTGTGGCTAACCAGGTAAACAGTGACAGGATTCCGTGGTGTGGAGAAAGGTAGCCACGACTAACAGGGCATGCTGGTCAAGGATGACATGGGCACTAGCACGGGATCAGATGGTGGCTGCTGATGTATTGTGTCAGATAGATACATGAATAATGAGCCATACACTGTGATCAGTGCATGGGTGCAGTCCAAATAGTTCACACTTCAGAGAAAACAAAATCACCTCAGCACAGCTGAGAACTATTGGAGAAAGAAAGAAATGATTTCTGCAGGTCCAGAAGTTTCTTTTTCTTTCCTGGAAAGACTAAAAATCAACAACTTATCTCGCAGTCTGTTTCTGCTGTCACCATGTAAAACCTGAAATAGAGGCAGCGTTGTCTCACACGGAGCAACCCTCTCCACACATCCCTTCTCGTGAATCCAGTCAAATCCCAAACCTGCACTTCAGCTGCCGACAATAGATTTATTATCTGCCTGGGCACACATGATCATCTGATGTGTATTTTGCAACTCTGAGAAAGTAGGTGCAGCTTTTGACAGTTGACATCAGTTGAAAATCTGTGCAGAGGTACCTCTGCGGTGGTGAGGGTTGCCTTGGCAGAGCTAACATATGCTAGCACCTCTTACCTCAGCACCGCTTCTTCTAACAAATGGCAGTGCTGCAGCGTTAGGATTTCTCTTTATGAACAAAGATGCTGAATAATGATCTGGTGCTGCAGATGTTCCTCTAATTTGGCAGAAGCAAGTGGGGTTCACTGATGGAGCAGGCTTCTTGTCAGCTGTCACCTGTGGTGGATAATCTGTTTTGAAGTGAAATTCAGATTCTAGAGCTGAATTGGTGCGAGACATTTTGTATACACAAAAACAGCAGGTTAAATGTTTGAGTAATGTTTCATCTGTATTGTAAGGCTGCTTTCTGCTCTCCTGCTTTGCGTGACTCCACTGGAAGGTGTAAGGATGCAGCACGGGTACAACGTGGCTTGTGAGCATAAGGTCATATGCAAGTCATCACCAGGCCTGCTGCTGAAAGCAGAGGATTGTATGTTGTACATCATCCTGAGGTATCGCTGCTCTTTTCTCTTTTCCTTCTCGTTCACAGGGGAAGCAATACACTTGGGAAGTCTTATTGCTGCACAGGGTTACGTCTTTCCAATCTCAGACCACGTCCTTACCCTGAAAGATGATGGGACGTTCTATCGTTTTCAGGTTGGTGAGCCCTCAGCCTTCCTTGTGGCCCTTTCTGCTCTCTGCTGGCTACTGCAGAACTGAGTAGCCACCCTTCTGTCCAAAGTAGGCAAGGGCAAACTTTGGAGCGGGACATCTGAGCTCTAGTAGAGCGGAAAATTCATGTTTTTATCCTCTCCTGGTAACAGATTGAGGTGGGAGGGAGCAAACTTCAGGCTTCAGATCTTTTACAGAGGATGTGTGACCTTGTCAGTCACCTTCACTGAGACACCTTTATCCCGTAGTGTCTGTGCCCCCAGATTGGATGCCTCCAATTTTTAAAGCATCCTGTGCTGGAGTTCAATGCTCTTTCCAAAATCTGCTGCTGTCAAGTTCCTCAATAACCGAAAGCTTGTGCTGCCACAACTTATTTTAGACAGATTGGGTAACTTTAAAAGAAGCAGTAAGTTCAAACCTACTGTCTAATCTTGCTGGTTGAATTTGTTTTTCTGTTACATGATCTCTGTCAGCTCCCTTATCTTTCCTGTGACCTTTCTTCTATTCACTCTACCATTCCTCCTTTTCATTTGTTGTTGTTGTTGGTTTTGCTTATTTGTTTGTTGTTTTTTTTTAGCTTTTATTTGAAAATCGTGTTCTCATCTTTGCATCTGCTGCTCAGGCTCTCAGACCTACTGCTAATGTGGTTTTGTTATCATATAAGACCAACAGCACAGGGAAAAACAAACAAAAAAACCCACAGGAAATCGCAGACCTCCCCTTATCTCTGTGCACCTTCTGGTTACCTGGTGTCACTCAGACTAAGATTTTTCATGACAGTCCCCTTGCTTTTCACAAAGTCCTACTCCTCCTATCATGCAAGACTTGGCAGAAGCAGGGACACTGCTGATTGCCTATTTAGTTGTATTTTTGTTCATTTTAAGAGAGATGCCATAGGAAGTTAAGTTATCAAGCTGTCCCGTGCAGCTCTCAAAAGCCAGATTTCAAAAGCAGAGTATCATTTAATTTATTTTTCTTATTTTAAGCCCCTGTAAACAACGTCATCAAGTAGTCTTGACTGCTTATTGACTTTTCTTTTTTCTTCCCTTATCTTTTCCTGCAATTTTGCTTACTGCTTGCCTGTTGTCGTTTCCTGCAACAGTTCTCCTCAGCAGCTTTCTGCAGAAATAACCTGATAAAATCATTTTTCTTTTCCATTATTCCACTGTTGCTGCTTTCTACATCAACATCAGTCTATCCTTTAACAGTTGTCATGTTGTGAAGTTCAGGGAATATATATCAGTGAGGAACATTGAACTGTGTATTGCTGCATCCCTCTGTGTTTTCTCGCTGTGCCTTGGTGCAAGAAATCGTCTTTGTATACATGTGATGTCCTGTGCTCTTTTGTGGAATTGCATCAGTAATGCAAAACACTGTTCTGTAATTTATGCGGTCACATTATTTTTCATTTGTGTCAAAATTCAAATGCAGCTACATGTAATCTTGTAATTAGTTGTAGCAACTGCAATATGGAGACCTGGACAGAAAACAAAACCAGTAAACTCAGCAGGATTTCTGCTTTCAAAACAACTGTAATCAGAAGAGTTTTGAGCTCTGCCATCTGATTTATTTTAAAAGTGAATTGTTTTGTTGCCTGTCAACCACACTGGTAGCTGCTCCAAAAAAAACAAGTGGTATGTGGTGTATATAAAAGGCCACAATTTTTTATTTTTCTCATGGTCCTAACAAAAAGAAAAAGGTTCAGGGTGACTGTGAATTTCTGGGGAAAGAGGAGGTTCTGGGGATAGAGAGTAAGAGGTCCATATTCAGATAAGATGGCAAGACTGTCTAAAATGTCATCAGGGTGGACATCCTCAATCAGTATTACAGTGCCTCTGCCTTCAGTGAGGAATATTGGTGATGATACCTTTCTGGAAAAGCATCCTCACTTTTCCTCAGACCTGTAGCAATGTTTCCCCTTAGAGCAGAGACTGGGCCTTAGACTTCGTGATTCTTCTGTTTGTACTCAAAATATTTTTCTGCGTCTGATTTGTTTTTCATCTCTTAAATTACGAACATGCATATGTTGTTTCTTAGGCACCGTACTTTTGGCCTTCAAACTGCTGGGAACCAGAAAACACAGATTATGGTGAGGCTATAATTATTTCATTGCAGAAAGTTGGTACACAAAGTTTGAGATTGGGGAAAAAAAATGTCCTTTAGCCTATGAGTTCAGTGGGGCCAGGATGTAAGTACTGTTGCCTTCGTTCTCCAATAGCTCTGTTCGTTTCAGCAAGATTTATGGCAAGCAGAATATTGCTCCTCGGGAATCTTAAATAATATCAGTATTGCTTTTGTGGGAGAATATACTTTGATCTGTAGCTGAATTTGATATGTTGATCAATAAAAAGTTACCTCATTTGGGCACTCATCTGGCTGATCAATAAGCCAGTATATAACTGATGACAACCCATAGTTAAGCTTCCGTGATATATGACATCAGACTTATTCCTCCTATTTTTTTTTAAGATTACCAGCTGATAGCTGGTAAAAAGAGAAGACTGAGCGTGGTTTATGAGCTAATAAACTGCAGCATGGGGTATTAAACATGTGAATGCCTGCAGACAGTGATAATACATAAAGAAAATATGTCAGTATTGTTATCTTTAGCTGTCTCCGTGCAATATTGCTGTCTCTTCCAGAACTACACTTCTTTCACAGTTAAATGATAAAATCAATTGGTGCATCCTGGTGTGGCATTGGAAGAGGAAGTGAATCCATGTGCATGCTCATAAAGCAGGAGCTTCTGGAAATGCCTCTTCTGAAATATCTCATAATCTAAGATCAGTTTATAACTCCTCCCTGAATAATAATTTTTTCTTTCCCAAGCAATAATTACTCACCATTATGGATTCTGGAAATCATTTGCTGGGGTGGGGAAGTAGCTTGCAATGGTGTCTGTCATATGATAGTTCATTTGCAGTCCTCATCTGCAGGGAAGCTAATACAGACTTATGTGTTTATCCCAGTGAGGCGACTGCTTAGGAGAAAATGTGTTGCTGTTCATTATGTGCAAAATAATTTCCAGATTTTACAAGCAGTCACCATATATGTGTCTGAACTGCACTAAACACATTTTCTGTAAATACCAGAATAACAATTTTAAGAGGGGAGTTCTGTTTTTTTCCCGTAGTGTCTGATAAGAAACTGGGTTTCACTGTCAGGTTATTGTGCTGCAAAGCCACTGAATAGAACAATACTCCTCAAAATCAAGCCCTGTATGAGCTGACCCACAGCTGGACAAGATGCAACTGCTCTCTGAGCCCTGTAGTGACAGATTTTCATCTATCCCACAAATCTCTAACATATGCTTATAATCAGCCTTTGCATATCAGGGGTCTGTGCAGATGGAGTCTTCCCAGGAAATAATCCCAAACTAGCAGTAGGCCCAAATAAAGCTGAAATCCCAGCAGTTCTTCCTACTTTTTTTATTTGCATGGATCTGCTCACAGGACAGGAATGAACTTGCTAACGGCAGGTCACTGCCTCACATGAGGAAGTACTGCGAGATGACTGGCTCTCAATTTATTTGATGGTGTAAACGGCTTACAAGTGAAGCTGTTTTTGAGAAGTTTGAAAATAAATATACGTGACCTGCTCCATTCTGGTTACCATGCGTAATGTAGGCTCATTATATGAATGTTAAAATTATAGGAATAGCATAGAGCAGAATTACACCAAAGAACCATTTTTCTCATATTTTAAATAGAGGAGGTGTCAGAAAATTGCTTTTATCAGCAAATCAAAACTCCATGGTTTTCAAAGCTGAAGTTTTCTGAAAAAGATTTATTGTCGTTTTCTGTAGAGGGAGCTTTGCATTCTGCCCCAGCCCAGTTTGGTACACCTCACCATTTGGTACACTACATGATTTGTACCTGCCACAGCAACATGAGAGAGAGGGCCAAAACACAAGGCAGCTGTACAGTTTACTTCCAGATCCATCCCATAATGAGAGTACTGGACCTCTGTTATGCAATTCAGATCTGCCCGTGTACTCACAGTGTGCTGGGGACCTTGTTTCAGCCCCTAACAGAACTGAGCTGAGCTGGCCACCTAGCTGAGGCTGTCCAGGAGGCAGCCTGGGACTGGTTTGTAATCGTGCACTGGGCTCCTCTTGACCCTTGGGATCCCAAACCACATCAGTTTTGGCAGTGTCTGCTTATGGTGAAAAGGGAGAGGGCTTTTCCTAACAGTTTGAAATTTATAGAATATGTGGATGGGGCAGATGAAAGAATGTCACATGGTACCTTTAAGATATAGCCCATATTTCTGTTTTCATTCCAATATCCTGATTATTTATTATTATTATTATTTATTTATTTTAGGGGAAAAGAAATGCAGAGGTATGCAAGGCTGCTCACTTTGGCAGGCGTATTCCTAAAGTGCTGAAAAGAGCAGGTTGCTAACACTAAATCTTTTACCAGCCCCAGAAGTAATTGTGCCTTTCTCAGACGTCTCGTTAGGTCCTGGCATCTACTCTCAGCACTTTTAAATGAGATATCCCAGATGTTTGAGGCCTCTGAGATTGCTAGTATATAGTGTCAGCTGAGTATTCAGCCCTCTCACTCCTTGGTTTGTGTTGCCTTCTGATGAGAAGGAACAATACATGGACCAACATTATTATTGTTTTATTTTTTTAAGATCTTGTACTTATAATCTGTCTGTAATTGTTTTCCGTTCTGTTTCTCCCTTTAGCCATCTATCTTTGCAAACGGACCATGCAGAACAAAGCCAGGCTGGAGCTGGCGGATTATGAAGCCGTAGGTACACTGCTGCTAGAGTTTGGAGTGTGGGGGTACAGGGAGAGGGCTTTGTTTGCCAACTGAGTCGTGCAGTTTTATGCTTTGGGGTCAGCCTTTCCTGTGTCTTTTTTGTCTTTTTTTTTTTTTTTATTTAAGTTGTCAGAATTGTGTGAAGGTTGATCTGGAGACAACATAAGGCAGGTGAATGGGGAACGTCACTGGCTTTGCAGCATCTCCTGTTAAATAATCTGCTGTTGTAGCCAGCCCTCCAAGACTGCAGCAAATAACACAAAAGCTTACATAGGCCTCCTGTTTCCAGTTAACAGGTCCTGGTTTATATTGCAGATACCAACACACAAAATGGTGGATTTTCACGTGTATTACTAAGTAATTAAATTGCTAATGACCTGTAGCATACAGTTGCAGACCTTAAAGGGAAAGTCTTCAGGTAGTAAGCCTGGACTGTGTTTTCAGTGCACTATGTAAGAATAATGAACCAGGCCTATTCAGGGCGTGTTTTCTGTTATGAAGTTATTATCAAAAACAAACAAACAAAAAAAATCAGCTTCAGATAGTGCAGGGTTTGGGTCTATAGGAATAGGAAAATGGAGGCAGGAGGGGTAAGGTTGGAGTGGGTTTCTTTTCATGCTGGCAGTGTAATGCTGACCAGCTGAACTTTCTTTCTATCATACAGCCTTTTTCTTGCTTTCTAGTTCAGTGGTGTAACACTAGAATTTCCAGTGTGGAGTGTTTCAGTGGAGTCTTTGTGTACAAAACTGGTTCTAGTGGACTTGTGTGTTCATGTTTATTACGATGAACACATATTTATTGCATATGTTGCAAGTTGTTTGTTTTTTTTTCCTAGAGTAGACTTTTTATTTCTTCCATGCCTTCTACAATTTTAGGTCTTCTGTACACACAGATACGTATATACACCATTTGGTCCTTCCAGTGAAGAGCATGCAAAAATTGGCACTTGTCTAATGTATCCAGACTTCCCATGAGTTCTAATCTCAAAGTACAGACATAAAGGAATGAATATAATAGTCCATATGCATTTATACCTCATTTTGCTGAATTTTTCCTTCTGCATATTGTTGATTTCATTATTAAAACCATTAAAATTGCTCACAGCCAACCAATTAACTTGTAAGTACTCTAAAGATCTATCATAAAGCAAAAAAAAAAAAAAGGCTGTTCAGCAGCACACACTCCCACACACATGCAGTGAGGCTATGACTAAGTACTTTTGCACATCATTGTCTTCTGAGAGTAGCAATGCACCAGTGATGGCAAATAATTAGATCTTGGCAGTCTCTCATTTTTCTTGTGAATATTGCATTGCACAATTAGAGATCGCTTCTGCATTCAAAGTTTGCTCTCTTAATTAAAGACAATCAGATAAGTGCGGCACCAACTCTTCCTAGTCATTATGAGAGCTGAAGCAGACCCAGCAGTGGAGATGTAGCTGAGCACAAGTGAGAGAAATAGGCATACAGGAATGGGAAGGAATTCCATACGTTTAATGATTTTTTTGGTAATTTAGCGTAGGATGCTTCTCTGCGGGCATCAGCACTGACCTGGCATTTCCAAAGAGAATCACTAAAAAGCATCTCAGGACAGCATCTCATTTGAGGTTCTGCTTGAATCACTCATAGGCACCTACCCCCAGTTTATAGTGCTAAAGCAGGGTTCTTCATTATATGATTAAGCTTGCGTGATTGCATTTAGCTTAGTTTATAATTGGCCAAACATGAGCATGATTCAAATAATGTTTCACTTGGTGATGTTTCATTGGCTTCAGCATGTTTACTCCAGAGGGCACATGTGAACATGATTTAAAATATTAAAAAAATCAAACCCACAAAAAATTGTTTTTGCAGATATTACAAGTAGTTCACAGTAAAGGAAATCATCGCAGCTCAGTGCAGCTGTAAAACATTTGCTTAACTGCTTTCCTCCGTGTGTAAGAATGAAACTCTTGCGTGGACTTGATGGTAACTGAATCAAGCTATGTGTTACATGACAGTTCAAAGTGAAAATTGGGAGAGTTCTCCTAGCATTGAAATGCTTGTGCTTAGGCATTTTCTTGAAACAAAGAGAATAGACATAACAAGAACAGCAGTAGAACTAACAGTGTTCATTTTCAAGGAAAATTTGGAACAGTTGAACCAGCTGTAATGGTTAAGAGAGTCAGGTTAATGGTCTCGTAGGCCTCTTTCTCCAAGCAGTTGTGGATATGTGACTTTAGGGTGCCATTTGTGCCTGAAATTCTGCCATGTCCTGAGTTTGACCTTGAGCTGTGAGAATGTCACATCCATCTCCAAATGTGCAGATCATGATGCTCTCCATAATGGATCCAGACCAGAGCTCTTATTTCAGATGCAGAGAAAGGCTGCATCTGGATCTGGTCCCTACAGTTAGCTGTTTTCATTGTGGAGACAAACAAGCCATTTCCTTTTGTGAATCATCCTGGCAATTCCCGGACTTGAGTGCTGTGCAGCTGCGCAGTGCTCTCCGCAGTGACCAGGGCTGAGCAGAGCGAGGGATGCTCGGGCTTTGCACCTTAGCAAAAGCCTGAAGAGAGCAGAGGGGGGAGGAAGGGAAAGTGGGAAGAGAAGAAAACGTGCAGGTGGCAGCCATCTGCTCTCAGAAATGAAAGTTGTCAGCTTTGCAGATCTTCTCGGTACTATCTTTTGGGAACAACTCCATCATTATTTTACTAATAGAGCTCAGGCTGTCTTCATCACACTCTATTACTTCTCCTGACAGTGTTCTTTTGGCTGCAGACTGAAAAGATGTGTCAAAACCTTGCTTTGCCTATGGGATAATTCACCTGAAACCAATGCTGATTTCCATGTCCTGAATTTTCCAGCTTAAAAAAATAAATAAATTGAAATAAACTCCCAACATGCTAACTATGCTCTCAAGCAATTGCTATAATTACCAGAATTAATTGTTCTCTACTATTTTCATCTTTTGTCAGGAAAACTTAGCAAGGCTTCAGAGAGCATTTGCAAGGAAATGGGAATTCATCTTCATGCAAGCTGAGGCCCAAGTGAAGTGAGTAGTCCTGGAGCAGAACTGCACCAGTATCTGGGACTGGGCAGGGAGGGGGGCTCTGTGAGGATAAAACTTCTCTGCCACTGTCTTTACTGCAACTAAGCAGTGTGTAGAAATGTTGGTTGGGAGTTCCTGAGCCTGAGTTGTCTGTGTGAGGTTGGGCGATTCACTTGCACATTCTGCTTCTACTTTGGTATAGTATTTTTGTTTCGAATAAATGGAAAGAACAAAACTTTGTCATCTGTCTGTGTAACTCTGTGCTTAAGCATTTCGAAGTTCATAAATGCTATTACTTAAAAGTACTTTTGTAAAGGTGGTATGTACAGCAGACTGTATTTAGTTTTCTCATTTATACCATTCCCCAGTCAGCTCAGTTGTATGTCTGTTCTCTGCTCTGCAGCTTGTGCTCCTAACTGTGTAGAGTTGGGTGCCGTTTACATGAAACTTATTCATATGTAATACTTTTCTTCCCACTTTCTACGTATAATTGAAATCCACATTTTTTCACATCTTTCTGAAAACAGTTCAATGTTTTTAGCACGTTGTCATTAGTGCTGCAAAATGGGTATGGTCCAGGGTTTCTAGACTAGTCTACTTAAAAGCCTACGTGTCCATTTTGTACATGTAATTGTCACCAGTAAAATTGAAAGGTTGATGAAGAAGAGAACATCAGAACACCAGTACTGACAGTGTGCGTCACTAGAAAGAATTTGCACTTTCAGCATCAGGTGCTAAAAAGTTAAGGAATAATATTTCTTGAGGGTGTGGCTGAGGGATCGGTCTCTATCTTTGATTAACTCGTTGGAATTTTGATTAATTCTTTGCTTAATCATCTTGTAATTACGCACTATTTAATCACATGATAATTATCCTCAAAATAACAAGGTAATTAAGGGATTTTTTTTCTGAACAGAATACCAGCTTTCTGTTTAGAAGAGAAAATTAGAAGTTACAATAGCAATTGTACTTTCAGTTATGTAAAGGTTTGTTGCCAAGAGGAAAAATAAAATGTAAGTCTAAACAAAATTCTGTATTCTGTCTACAGCACAAATTATCACCTTAAAGACATTTAAATTCCGTGTGTTTTTTTTTTTTAATATGGTCACCGTTACTTATTCATCTTTTCATGAAGAAAAGTTGGGTTGGAATTCATGGTGTAACGCATGGCAGCAAATTAATTAAAAGAGAAAACAAAAACACCTGGACACCTTTCTCTGTTTATCAAGTTCTGCTCTGGCTCCCATATCTTTGTTTGCACACAGGATTTCCACTCATATACCAGCTTTCAGGTTGTACACACTAAATGAGGGACAGGACAAAGTGAGGAGAACATCAATGACCACGCAGTATTTTCAAAGCAAAACACCTTCTGAGAGAAACTTATTGTAGTGCTCCAAAACTGCAGCCACAGAGCCTCTAGATATGTTGTGTCTTTATTGTAATTTGAAATGTGGAACATGTGGAGTTATCAGTACGTTTGGGGACAGAAGCCAAGAATCTGGGTCTAGCACAAAGCACCCATATAGACAATTCTTGGAGCCTCTGAAGAGTGTCTCCACTTCACGTGTGCTTTGCAGGGTGATGCAGGCAGAAGGCTTCACCTTCCTCTTTGGTTAGGCATGAAGGCTGCTCAGAAGTGGTTTTGGGCTGGGTGTCTGTGCTTGCTACTCGGCTCAGTACAGCGACTGCTGTCTGGTGGCTGCTCTGTCTTTTCTGTGGGGACAGAGCTCATGAGGAGCTGGTTTCTCATCTCAGCTTATTCAGAGAGGGACAGGTACCTGTGGAGGACTCGAGGTCTTTGTGGGGAGGAAAGGGGTGCTCAGAAACTTCAGTTTGTCCCCCATTTCCTATCCCCTTGATACATTTCTAGCACAGACTCAGCTGAGGATTACTGCTTCTCCAAGAGAAAAACAGGGGGGGGAGAACCTGAGGGTCAGAAATTCTAGATTGCGTGGTGGTTTTTTTTTTTGCCCTCGCTGCTTTCATTATGCCCAGTGGCAGCTGTGCAGGAAGGCAGCACAGGAACACTGTCAGCTTCTCAAGTCTGCTCTGGAGGTGAGGGCAGTTCCTCCTCCCGCGTCTCATCTAGTCTCTCTGCAGGCGGGTTTTGCAAGCGGGTGATGATTTGCTGTGCTCACGTGTAGAGCCAAGCACCAGATGTGAATGGCTAGATGCTGCTGAGACGTAGGGGAACAGATGCTTTGAACAACCTCCAGTGGCCTTTGATGTGTGCGCTTTGAGTGAGCCAAAGTACTGGCTGCATCAGGGCTGAAATTACCAAGTTAGGCCTGTGCCAACCCCATCACGTGTCTTTGGATGAGTGCTGGCTTGCACGGCGCCATGCGGCAAGTTCGGCTCCTGTCCCTTGGTGCTGGCGCCCTGCCCTCTGCCAGCACCGGGACAGGCAGAGCTAGGCTGTTGGAATCCCCGAGGTGGCCCGAAGTGCTGCCTGTGCTGTCAGTGCGGGTGATGCCTCAGATAGCTGCCCCATAGGAGTCTGCAGTCATAGTAGATGTGCCACTGGGTGCAATGGAGCCTCCCAAGGTGGGCCTACACCCGGAATAAAGAGGTGCCAACAGGTACAGACCAGGTGGTGTTGGCAGAGCCAAAGCCAAACGTGAACTTACAGATCTGGGGACAGTGTGTCAGGAAAGGGCGTTTTCCTCACCAGATAGGGGGGGGGGGGGGGGGGGGGGGAAGAAAAAAAGAGATACTAAGGTTAAATTTTCCATTTTAATAGGAAAATTTTTCTTGACATATATTGGAGTAAACATCAGTGACATATTTTGTTCATGACACATGGCCTTGCAAGACAGTGTGTGACATTTCTACACCAAAAAAATGTTTTTTGTCGTTGGGTTAAAAACCCCATCTAGGAAGTATAACAAGGAAGAAAACATTAGTTGTGTGATGACTCATGTTTATGCTTTTGTTTTCAGAATCGACAGGAAAAAGGATAAAACAGAAAGGAAAATTTTGGACAGCCAGGAGAGAGCATTCTGGGATGTGCACAGGCCTGTGGTAAAGCTCTTTTTAAATGATGAGGCTTTCCAGGTTTTGACAGGAAAGTTTTAATGCTAGTAAACACTGTGCCATGAATTGCACAAAGATATTGCCTTTAAAGTCACCACATGGGTTTTCCTCACAATTCAAAACAAGTTGCCACAAGATTATTTCAGACATTTTAGGTTTGTGCATGCATGGAACTATTGACTTAGAAATATACGATAAATGTGAAGTTTTGAAGATGTTTTTTGTGCATATGAAAAGAAAAGCAGCTTACCCGGTTTGGCACAGGCTTCCTAGAAAAAGCTCTTCTCTTAGCTGAGGTATTTCCTCTTAGTGCCAAAGTTATGAGCAAATGGATTTGATGCTGGGATGCCAACTTTGGGTATACGCACTCTCTTATTTAGCAAGCGTAATTTATGGGATGTAAACTTAAGGAAAGACTTTCAGACAAGATCTAACTGTGTATTTTAGGAAGGTAAGGTAATGTGTAGATTGTAAACAGAAAGTAGTAGCATGATAACCATCTTTTTTTAACCATCTCTTTTCAGCCAGGTTGCGTAAACACCACAGAAATGGACATTAGAAAGTGTCGTCGTATGAAAAATCCACAGAAGGTTAAAAAGGTCAGTTTGAGTTTCTGGTTTTCCTTATTTTTAATGTAAATCACACTTAACACCTATAGTATATCAGACTTCCATAACAGAAACGAAAAGTGGTTTGCAAGTGTCAGTTCATTTTTGATCTAATTGGTGAATTTACTATTGCAGTTTTACCAACTGAGAGGTACAGACGGAGTGACTGGCAAAGCTGAGAAGGTTATAAGAAACTCTGTGCCCCAAATGTCTGCTGGTTTGCACTCCCATAAAACTAAAATCAATTGGCAAAAGTGCCTAGGTACCATTTTTCAGAAATTATTTGGGCATAGGTTTTTCAGAGCTGTTTACCTGTCTTAGTCATTTCAAAGGCTTGATCATTAGCAGCTTTTGTGCCTTTGACTTCCAGCAAGTCTTAGCTTCTAGATATATATTGGTTCTAGAGGTGACACCAGATTAGGGATCTGTGATTAGGTGTCACCAGATTCCTGGTAGTTAAATTGCAGAAGAGCTATTCACGTCTCTTTTGAACATTAAATAAAAAGCAGAAGTACTGAACGACAGGGTACTTGGTATTACTTTCAGTGCAAGTCTCTGTCCAGAAAACAAATGGCTACAAGTCAATCTGTAGGTTACCTATAGACACTTGGTTAAGCTCTTTCTTCAATGTGTAGTTTTTTATGACGAGAAATTCAACCAAATGGAAGAAAATGTCCTGTGATTGAGTTCTAGTCCTTTCTTTCTCCATTCATTTCACCACAGTGATCATTCCCAGGGTTCATCCTGCAAATATTGGCAGGTGAAGCCCTCAGAGCTCCTAAAAATTATCATCTGTATCTTAATATTTAAGATAAATCTTTTTCTACTTACTGTGAAACAGACCTATAGATTGCAGCAGCACAGAGCAGCCACCTCACACATAATGGGAACGTCTCAGGTGAGAGAGTTTTGCTGGAAAGCAGGCTGTGCAGGAAGCCCCAAGCATCCCGCTGGCATGCCTGCAGATGTCCCAAGTGCAGGCATCTGCAGCGCAGTCAGATCTGTCAGTTTTGCTCCAGGCTGAATGATTGTTGACCTGCATGAAAATAAACAGTAGGAAATTGTTGGCTTGTTGTCTTACTGTTTTGCGTACTGCAATTCTCCTCATTGCATAACAGGGAAAAAGGCCATAATCTCTTCTGTTTGTTTGCTGCTTCCCTGCAGTCAGTGTATGGGGTTACAGAGGAGTCTCAGCCCCAAAGCCCCGTACACGTGCCCTCCCAACCTGTACGCAAAACTACAAAAGAGGATTTCCGGAAACAGGTAAGAAGACGGCTACATGGCAATTCTCTTGAGACTGAGTGCATCTAGAAAAATCAGACAGCTGTTATCGGGGAGATGGAGCATTAATGTTATTGAGAAATCGGTAAAACCAACTGTTTTTTTTAACTGCTTGATCCTTATGTGCTTTATGTAAAGCAGTAGATATTTAAAGATGCATATTAATTCAGCAGTGATGTGATGATACATGTTATGGGCAGTACTGATCTTTGACTCTAGTATTACTCTGTCTGTAGGCGAGTAGACAAATTCATTTCCAGATCACTGAGGATGTCAGAAAAGTGGACATCAACAAAGGCTAGGGAAGAAACCAGCATGCTCAAAGCACAGACTGGGGGTGGGCAAGGAAAAGCATCTTTCGGTGTGTGACTGTTACAGGCTGTACTGTCAAAGCTTTTGGGGAACTGGGAAAAATCACTGTGAGGAATGAAAACTAAGAATCACCCTGAGGAACAGCCAGACAACTTGTGTGTCCTTGCTCCTGCTCACAGAGTTCTTCAAAATTGCTTTCCTGCAACAAACAGCACTCGCTGAACTATGGGCAAGATTCTATGGGTCAGCATTTAAGTAAAGGCCATTAGACATGTTTCTTAGGCTGCCAGTTTTAGGGAAAACTTCTGAACTAAGTTGGAACACTACATTTCGTGAGCTTTTACCGTTGTAGGCAATATAGGCTACAGAGGATTGTGAAGAGCTAGTTTATAGCACAGTAGAAACGTACTGTAAAACCATGACTTTCACAGAATCACAGAATTTCTAGGTTGGAAGAGACCTCAAGATCATCGAGTCCAACCTCTGACCTAATGCTAACAGTCCCCACTAAACCATATCCCTAAGCTCTACATCTAAATGTCTTTTAAAGACTTCCAAGGATGGTGACTCCACCACTTCCCTGGGAAGCCTGTTCCAATGCCTAACAACCCTTTCAGTAAAGAAGTTCTTCCTAACATCCAACCTAAAACTCCCCTGGCGTAACTTTAGCCCATTCCCCCTCGTCCTGTCACCAGGCACATGGGAGAACAGGCCAACCCCCACCTCACTACAGCCTTCTTTAAGGTATCTGTAGAGAGCGATAAGGTCACCCCTGAGCCTCCTCTTCTCCAGGCTGAACAAGCCCAGCTCCTTCAGCCGCTCCTCGTAGGACTTGTTCTCCAGGCCCCTCACCAGCTTCGTCGCCCTTCTCTGGACGCTCAAGCACCTCGATGTCCTTCTTGTAGCGAGGGGCCCAAAACTGAACACAGTACTCGAGGTGCGGCCTCACCAGAGCCGAGTACAGGGGGACGATCACCTCCCTAGCACTGCTGGTCACACTGTTTCTGATACAAGCCAGGATGCCGTTGGCCTTCTTGGCCACCTGAGCACACTGCTGGCTCATATTCAGCCGACTATCAACCATCACTCCCAGGTCCTTCTCTGCCTGGCAGCTCTCCAACCACTCATCTCCCAGCCTGTAACTTTCTTGGTTAGGGAGATGGAAATGTGTGTTATAAAATGGGGATCACATTGAACCTTGAGTTGTCTAGCAGCCTCAGCCCCGGCTATGTGCCTTTCCTCCTTTTAAATGTTTCTTGGGAAGCTCCCCTCAGGGACTTCGCCACATGAAATTGAGCCTCCTGGTGGAAGCAGCTAATAAGCTGCTTCTACTACCTAGGGAAGGGTCTTATTTCTTTTTGAGTTACTTTCAAGCTGTTTGGAATGAGAAATCAATAGTGGGTTGGGATATGATCAATGCATGCTGTGGAGTTCCCGGATTCTTAATGTCCTTGTCATCTCTCTCCTCAGATAACTTTTCTGAACCTGCAGATAGACAGGCATTGTTTAAAGATGTCCAAAGTAGCAGAAAGGTGAGTGTAGCCATTTTAATTATTTCCCATTACTTCCTCATCTCAAAACTGCCATTTCCAGAAACAGCAAGTGGGTAGGAACACACAAAGGCTGGTCCCATTTCTGTGCAGCAAATCCTTCTCCCTCATTGCTCAACCATACTGCCTGTCTGCTGACCACTGACACGTGGCATTCACCCTTCTGCCACTGAAGGCAGAAAAAAATTGGTGAAAAATGAGCATGTTGTACTGTAAAAGCAAAAGAAATGACTCACAAAGGAAAGAACCATTGCTGGGCTTTTGTTTCCCACCCCTTCACAAGCCTAGAGCTCATTTACAGAAAAGTCTTTCCTCTTTCAGTTCAAAAACATCCATTTTTCTTTTGTTCATCTCCTGTTAAACTGGTACTGTGTTTGCATCTTGCTGTGTGTGGTGTTCATATGCATACTGGAGTTTATTCCTACCGGGGTTGTAGGGCCAGTTTCTGCTCTCACTTACTCACATGAAACCCTATGGAAAGTACTAGGTTTGTATCTGGACTACCCAAGGCAGGGTTTTATAGAAGTAGATTTCTCACAGAGGCAAATCAAGGCACAATTTGGCTTGCAGAAAATTTAGTCCTGATAGGAAACTATGAACAAATAAAGAACAAGCTCAGATTTAGCTTCCTGAGAATGACTGCTCCTTTACTCAGATAGATACTTGTAAGTTCTGCACATTTGCAGTGAAATTGTTAAGACAGATGTGGGGATCAGCACGGTTTTCAGTAACTGCTTTTAGAGTAAAACGGTCTTGAACGTGATGGGCATGATAAGGGCTGATTTCTTATGGAGAAATAACAAAAGATTTTTTATTTAAACAAATTAAAATGAGATTACCCTATAAAATTTTGTGTTCTGCCATGCCTGCTCCTGTAATTACGATGTGTACACTGCACTAGGCAAATTACATAGCAAGAGCTCAACAGTAAGTTCCTAGTAGCTCATAAAGTTTAACAATTTAAATGAAAATTTATCCAGTTAAAAAGGAAATAGTCAGAGGCTTCCTGAAATCCTGCATACACTATTTTGTTCTATTGAATGTAGTGCATCAATATTTATGTTTTGGGCTTTTTGGTTCTGTTCTGATAAATTTTTCCTTTACCGAAAATGTCATTTTTGTATTGAATTCACTTACAGAGACCTTAATATACTGAGACTAATAATTTCTAGGCTGGTAATTTGCAGGCAAGCGGTTGTGTTTTGCTTGAATTTTTTCTAGGTAGGTATTTTTTCAATAAGAGGGGCTCACTAAAACTCACTGACTTCTGAACATCAGGTCCTGTCCACGTGGCAGGACTGATATAACTTGGACCTGTTGTTCAAGTTATACTGATTTTACAAATGTCAGTGACAAAAAACAAAAAATCCATTCATTTTCAATAAAACTGGACAGTAAATAATTGTCCTGGTCTGGAAGGGCTTGGGGCTCTTTATGCAGTGGCTGTGGGTGGCAGTGATGCTGGAGGGTCCTAGGCTGTAGTGTTGCAGGGCTTGGCATGAGGAGCAGCAGGGAGGGCAGCCTGGAGGTGGATGGTCTGGGAGCAGGAGGGAAGGGGTGGGAATGGGCTGATGGGTCAAGCAGCTCAGCAGTGGTGGGGATGGGTGGGGGGAAATGAGTTTAGATAGCCTAAGTTGATCTGTTGCCTGAAATGAAACCTGTGTGGACTGAAAGCTGCATGTAAAACATTGAATGCACACTCCATGAGCAGATTAAGGAGGTGTTGTTACTAGCAAGGCACTTTTCAGGCTGGGCCCAGCTTTTGGGCCAGAGGCATCCCTCACCTGCTCCAGGCGCCTGGGAAACAGTTTATCTTCCTTCCACATCCTTTCTGCCCATTTGGGAGACTTGGATGCTGTCAGGTTTAGGATTTGGCAATGAGATTTGACAACTTTTGAGCAAAACTGTGAATAAATTCTACCTACTATTTTCCCTGACCGCATCAGGTAGTGTTGCTGCAATCCCAATACACGAGGCATTATAGAAATGGCTGGGGAAAACCTGAGCATCTTCCTACCGGAAGTAATCTCAGCTCCCTAGTTGAAAATCTGTCACAAATCTCTGTTATTCTCACAGTTTCCCCAAATTATTATGAGGGCTTAGCAGGGCCCCCTGATTGCGAGGCAGTCAGGTTCTCAGTGCAAGCTCTGCACCCTTCAGCGAACTCTTAACCACCATCTCTTCTGCCAAAATTACATTGCAGCACCTGAAAGGCCAAAAGTCCAGGTTTGCATTTTGGCAGAAATGCTTTCCCGTAGGATTCCCACTGTAGCCTTGTTTAGACAACGAGACAATGATTCAGCTGCTGTCATTATACTGAATCAGCAAAATGTGTTCAGCAAATCCTCCCTTCTTTCATTTAATGTAGCTTTTTTTTTCTCCTTTTATTTTTGCTGGTACTTTTCTTAGCACCTCTGATGCCGCCTTATTATTTTATTAGGAGCAATTCAAAATTTCACAGCAGATACCTCCTGATTGATCCTTTTTGTTGTTGTTGTTGTTTTTTGTGTTTTTTTTTTGTTTTTTTTTTTTAAACCAACCCTCTCTCTCATTGATGTCTCAGGAATTGCTGCTCTCTGAAATTGGACGCTGCTCTCTCCTCCAACCCTTGACCCACAGCAGTCATGAAATGTAATTAATGAAATGAGATGAGACAGCCCTGAGTGCCCTGAGGGGCAATGGGAACCTGCTGTGGTTACAAAAGTGTATGATTTTAATGCCTCATGATACGAGCTAGGACAAATAAAAAGAAATAATTACTGCAGAGCAGGTCAGGGAAACTTTCTGCCTTTTGTGGCCCTTTGTTTCACGGGGTCTTTTCGTGCTCTTGCCTTTTTGAGATGTGGAAGACCAGAGGTAAAGTGACCATGGACAATCACAGTGAAAGTAGATTAGTTGTTCAGTATGGTGAGACTCAATTAACTTATTTAATTAGTTGTCAGACAGAGACAGAAAAATGAAAAAGTGCCTCAGAGTATTTCACATGTAGGCTAGGACAAATTTCTTTTGATTCTTTCATGTATGCCATCTACCTTTTGTAAAATTGCCCCCAGGTCCCAACCCCAGTGGAATGCCTGAGTCGCCTGTTCAAGCACAGCCTTTTTCCCAGGAAGCTCTTAGGATTAGAGCCTGTATTTCTTAACCAACTAGGCACAAAGCAAACCTAGTGTAAATGCTAGGTGGTTTTCCAATATCTATATAAGTTACTACATGTTTAAATTAATTATTGTAAACTACCATTGAAGTATATTGCAATAGAGCCTTTATGCTAAATAGTATACCAACACGACAAAACAACCTATAGGGTGAAGATCTGACACTCAGGACTGTGATCCTTCACAGGTGTATGTGTACTCTATTTTGATGAGTTATTCACAATGCATAAAGGTAAGTGGGTGCAGAAGTCTTTGCAAAAAAATAAAAAGGGGGCAAGAGGCAGTAGCGGCATGCAACAAATGAAGAGGACACATGCTTCGTAGTCATGTTGCTCCCTGCACAAAGTCCTAACATATCAATTCAGTTGCTGCCACATCAAGCTTCTTGTCAGCATCTTGACAGGGCCAAGCTTGAGGAAAATGCTGTAGTGAATTTGTGGGTGAAATCATTGCATACACCCTCCCTGGGAAAAGGGAATTCTGTGGGTGCTGAGAAACTGAACGATCCAAGCAAGGAAAAAAGGAAAAAAAAATCACAAAAAAAAAAAAAAAAAAAAAAACTATAGCTCTGTGACTGAGTATTCAGGCACTGATTTTTATTTTTTTTTTAATATGTCAGTTTAATAGCCTACACAGAGCAGTACGTGGAATATGACCCCTTTATAACTCCTGCTGAGCCTTCCAATCCCTGGATAAGTGATGATGCAGCCTTGTGGGACATTGAAATGAGGTAAGAATTGGCAGTTTTAAGTAATATTAGAGTTGTCTTGCAATTTTATTTGTACGCTCTTCCCACAGGATAGGAAGTTGGACATCTGTAACTTCACCAGATACTCACATAGCTCAAGTTTAAACAGAAGCTTATACTCTATTACTTCTTCAGTGGATTATACAGCCCTTCCACTTCCATGTGACTTGATGTGTGTTACTCTGTAAGTCAGGGTGTTCTCATGCCCATCAAGGACATGCAGAGACTGTACTGTGAGAGCCCGTGGATATACAGTACTGCTCAGAGTTGCTTGTTCCAGCACACCTCCTGGGACCCTTGAGAGCCAGCTCTCAGGTCCTCCCCCAGTCCTGGGACCCCGTGCAAGACTCCACTGGCAGAACAGGAAGGGTTGGAGTAGTGGCCATACCCACTGCACAGAGGTAGGTTAGGTACAGGCGCCAGATCAGTGCAGCTCACACTTAATGTATGTAACTTGGCAGTTTAGAACGATAATAGATTGACAAAGTGAGTTTGGGCCTCACCTCACCTTAGTGAACAAACTGGCTTGTCCCTGTTATGGTGTGTAGTGTTGGAGATGAAAAGGAAGAGGAAGAGTGTAGGACCTCCACTGCCTTGCACCCTAGAGAGTTTCTCCAAAAAACAAAACATGCACAGTGCTGCAATTTAGATCATGTTTTGCCCATGTGATGCTTTTGCAAGAGAAACCCAGCCAGCCTCACTGTCTCTTGCTATTGTAGCTATCTGCAGTCCTTGTAGCAGGACGGGAATTGACCCGTCTGCTTCTCTGTCTAGCAGCTATATGACAGCAGACTTGGATGAAACCTGGAGTTTGTCCAAGCCCAACTAATCTACTGGGTTAGCATGGGTAAGGTCAACCTGTTCCTGTGTCCAGCAGCATGCAAGAGAACAGCGTACCTGAAAAGCACTACCTGGTTTCATTTGATTCAGGACAGTGCTTGCTTATGGCTTCTTTGGCCTTTAGCATAAGCCTAAAGCAAGATGAGCTCCGGGTGTGTAGTAAGTTGCTCTGATTCACCACGCTCCCTATCACCTTCGCTTCTCACTCACATAACCTTTGGCTGACTACTGCAAGTGCTCAGCAGCTTCTCCTGCTGTTGAGCTGCCATTTTTGAACTGAACTGGGAGCTCCCTTTAGCAAATCTTTGAAAATACCAAATCTAATTCTCTCTGTACTTGAATAATAATGTAAATTTTAAGATGCTGATAGCCTAAGGGAGCCAATTCATAGTGAATCAGTGTTCCAGGAAAAGGGCAAGTTATTTCTCTGTGTAAAACCCATGTGATCTGGGATGTGAAAGGTGTTGTCACCTGCTTCTCTGAAGGTCACAGAAGTTGGTAATTTGTTCCCTTATCTGTGCCTCCTTTTAAATAAATTCAATATTTTGGATTTCCTTTTTAGTCAGTTTCTCATTTTCTCCATCCTCCCTAGCAGGGTTAGGAACAGATACAACTTGAGCAAAATACTTCTCTGGAGGAACCCTACCTACAACATAATCCAGGCATCCATTACTTCTGGGTCTTCTGAGGTAGCCAGAAATCCCAGAAAATATTTTTGTGTCCCTGAGGAATACAATTTACCCGGTGTCATGACCTTTGTGGGAATATAAAGTAGATGCTTGGCTTCTGCTGTGATTTCAGAGTTAAGGAAGATGATTCTCCTGCTGGTGAAAAGAGAAAATATATTGTTGAGAGACAGGAGAACAAACATCTCTATATTTCTATTTTATTTCCTATTGTAAGAGACCTCCATGCATCTGCATCTAGTTACAACTTGCATGAATAATTAAATGGGCCCCAGGAGCTACGGTAGCCCTTGTGCTGCCTGCAAGGCTGTTTCCTCAGTGAGCAGGGCAGAGCCCTCTTTCAGGAGCAGAAAACGCCTCTCCTTCTGATGGCAAAGGCAGCTTCTGAGCAGGGACAGCTCTGTGCCACTGCAGCTTATCCTTCGTGGCACTGGGGAAATGCCTTGGAAAGCCTTCGGATTTAGACAGCCCTTTGGCCTTTTCAGTTTGTGCAGTGGCAAGCAGAGCAGCTGCTGATCCCTGTGTTCAGCAGGAAATTCCCTGGACTTGGCTGGTGCGTGGCTGTGCACCAGCGCGGCTCTCGTGTCCCCATGTCCAGGCTGGCTCACACAGGAGAGGAGGAGCCAGCCTCAGCGCTCTGTGCCTCGAGTGAGGACGTGCCCATCAATGTTGCTTAGTCTTTATACTGAGAGGAAATCAAAGTGGGCATTTTATTTACCCCTGTGGCTTATTTGTCTTCAGCACAGATCGCCACCGTCCCTTAAGGCTCCCGGATTAGGAATCACTGTGGACATGACAAGACATGCAGTTTAATAGATACGTACTGTTTACAATGGCTCCACTGTCACAAATGCGAGCAGCTGAGCTGTGTTTTAGTGGTTGTCTCATAGTATGACGCCATCATACCAGAAGCTTTCAAACACTTTGTGAATCCAGATTGCACTCTGATGCAGACTGTCTTGTAGGATCCTCATTGTGATTCCCAGGCACTGCCTCTCCCCATAGGCATCTCTGCAACATGTCTGGCAATCCAAACAACAGCTTATGTAAGTGGGGTTGTATTAAGAAATAATGTAGCAGAAAGGTTGTGAGTCATTTTGGGTGCCTCTGCATCTCAGTGTCCCAGCTGAGACACAAAATGGTGTCTGATTATCATGGAGGGGAGGACAGGGGTGCTTTTTAGTCTTGGAGACTCAGGCATCCAAAAATCAGAGGCACTAAAAAATAAAAGACCACAAACCAGTAATCATTTTTAGAACTCTTGTCCTCTCTGCTTCTTAGTGAACCTGCTTTTTTAATGCAAATGTGCAACTGAAAATCTGAAGCCAGTTCCAAGTGACCAGCCAGTGCTGTGTGGGGCACAAGGAGATGCGCTGGAGCTCTCCAATGACCCAGAGAGCACTGCTGGCAAATCTCTGCTTCGACATAGAAGAAATTGTTCTTTATGTGAAACGTACAGGAAATGTCACAGAAAATAATATCATTCACTGTCTCTCTCGTTTTGCCATATAAGCAGCACCCAGATAATACAACTACCTTAACCATGACCTTTATAGCTTCTTTTTGTATGTTATTTGATAAATTGTATTTCTGCAAAATCTTGAGGAAAAAGCCACCACCATCTCCTCGTCTGACAATCTTCTTCCCTTTGCTGCTTAGCAGAAACAGCAGCAGCTGCTTGGACAGCAGGCAGAAATGCACATTCCATCTGTTTTTCCTTTCTCTCTACAAACAGCAAAGAACCTAGTCAGCAGCGTGTGAAAAGATGGGGTTTCTCCATGGATGAGGTGCTGAAGGACCCAGTAGGACGAGACCAGTTCCTTCGCTTCCTGGAATCAGAATTCAGCTCAGAAAACCTCAGGTGAAACCTTTTCTAACTTAAAGTAAACAAATGGGGCTAATCATAATGTCTCGTGTGGGTGAAATGCTAGAAAATGCAGCCCCCCCAGCCTTGTTGGTAACACTGTTTTAAACCCAATATCTGGCCTTAGCATATTGCCCCAAAATACAGCCCCACCAAAGAATTAATAACTAAAAAATATTGGGAGCACCGACAGCACATTTTGTTCTGGTATAGCAGAGTATGCATGTCTCTTTAGCCCTTCCAGATACAAAACTAGGTGCTAAACTCACACCTAACCTGTGCCTTAGGATTCACCAGAGAACCCCTGTGTAACTCAGAACTAACACAGTAAGGCATTTTCCCTTATTGATGCCAGGTACCTTCTCACGTTGACAGAAAAAGAGAGGTCCAGCTAGATACCTGCCATAGATCCTGAGCTAAACCCACAGCCCTACCTACATACAGCCACCTGGTTTGTGGTTGGCACCAGGGCAGGCTGCAGCCACTGACCTGTGCTGAAGGATGAGGGTTTGAGTTGGCGTGGTGTCAGTGCGTCTTGTGCATGTGGGATCCTTACCCTCTCCCCTTAACTGAGGTACAGCAGTGTAGAGGCACTTCACAGAGAACTGCAGTGGTCTTCGCCTACACTTTGTTAGTCTGGAAGACAGAAAAGGGCCCAGTAGTAACGTCATTTGACTGCCCTAGATATTGCAGTGTCCAGTAAAAAACACTTTTTTACACAGCCTGAGTTGAATCCCTGAGGCCATGTTGTGGTTCTCTGGTGCCATCTCTGCGCACGGATGGGCAGAGGGCCCAGTGAGGGCCCAGTCCCATTCCAGTAGGCCCAGTGCTCCTTGGCAGATACAGCCAGAGCACTCCCAGTTCCCATTAGTGGAATCAGAATCGTGCTCAGGCGATGGAGGAAATCTGCTATCAGCTGAACATGCAGTTGGGTTTAGTGCTGCTGCTGTAATGAGAAGGTTTGATGCTGTTCTCACTTTACACCAGCTAAGAACTCGAGTGAACAGGCTTTCGTTTTATGTTTTGTTAAACTTCTTTCACTTCAACAATCATACGCATTAGTAAAGCATGTGAAGAATTGCCATTTTATTGCAGTCTGCTAGCCTGTGAGATCTGAAAGTGAAATTCCCCAGAAAGTGACTTTAAATGACATTGGAACTGACTTGTCATATTTATCCTATTTGCTTGCCCAGGGAGAAATACGGAAAGCATGCCAGTCACAAAACAATGAAAAATCAATGCACTTTAATGTTTGTCATTTTTAAAAACCCAAAAGTTACTTTGAAGATAAACAAGGGAGCGTTACTAAATTACATAAATGAACTTGACATTGTGTGGCTGAACAGGTACTGAACTTGTATATACTTACTGCACTTATGTACAGAGGTGCTCATTTGCAATTAAATCATAGTGATGAAGTGCAAAATTAAGATACTGTATTGAAATACTCCTCAAATGGTTTTTCTGAAATATGTGTGGGGTTGCACTAATGAAATCCATCAGGTTTTACCACTGGCGGGTGTCCCCCAGGCTCATCCTACTTAAACAAATGGAGGAATTTTCATTATTACCAAGTAAGCATTTGCCTTTTGTGGTCAATCAGGGCTGTTCCTCCTGCAGATGTGCATTCTTTTTGGTTATGAGAAAGCTTGTAGCAATGGGAGGCTGCAAATTAGTGGGCTGTGATAAAGAGGTTAAATCCCACATCCTTTTTGGAAGATTCTGGTATCATTATTGGTTAATATGGTACCATTACGATCATTCTTACGGTATCATTATCATGGTGTTGGCTAATGTGGTGTCATTATGACCTAATACTGGATCAGTATTAGCAAACCTGCTTAGGGCTGTAAATAATAATTAACAGGACGTAAAGGCACAAGTAGTCATAAAGTAAACTGGAATAGGATGGATTGTTAACAGTGTTGAGAAGCAAAAGGTGGCTCCCTAAGGCCCAGGTGTGGCAGAGAAAGCTCCTGAATTCCTATTAAGAGTGTGTAGTAGAAAGGAAAATAACTGCTGGATGCTTAAACATGCAAGTAAGGATTAATTTATGCCCAACAGCAAGGCTGGGATCTATCTCACCTAAGTAGTCAGCTTGGAAGCATAAACCTTCTACACCATCCACTACCAAGTCTCCTTTTCAAGTGAGAGAAGCTGAAGAGAAGTCAGTAAATTAGCAGGGAAAGTGGAATCTTTAAATGGAAGGTTTATCTTTAAGTGGAAACAAAATGATAAGCAACTAAATTACACAGTAAAGCACCCATCTTTCTCTACCATCTATAAGCCTGACACTAATTGAAATTAAAATGTCTGCATGGTAGGCTTCTATAGCTAAGTGCAATGTATCCCACCCAAATTCTTGGAAGCTGTAAGGAAGTTTCTGAGAGCACAGCACTTGCTGGAAAAAATACTTTTGGACCCTCTTCCCAGTAACTATCCAGAAATATGGGAATTGGTGCAGTGGGAACATATTATTTCTTGGGAATGTCAGGAGACTCTTCATTAATGTTGGCAGCAGTCCTGTAGGCCACTGTGCTATCCTCAAGACAGATCTGTGGAAGTGGTTGCTGGAAAACCTAGAAATTCCTGGTAGTGCTAGAAAAGGGATTTCATAAAGTATGCAACTGAGAGTGTCTTGAATGTAATTCAGTGGTGTAGCAAAGGGACCAAATTTTGCTTTTATTCCCAGTGGTGCAAGTCCAAAATCACAGGCTTGATTGTGGTGGGGTATTTCCATGTCTTCCTAGCCAAGAAAAATTGGGCCTGGTGGGGGTCTCAAGAGAGGCACTGCCTGAGATAGCAGCAGACTCGACTCAGTGACCTCCGAGGTCTCCTTCCAGCTGTGTTTCTGTGTTGTAATAAACTTGCAGGATCATGTCCACCAGTCTCCTGGGCTTGGCTGAGCCCTGCAACTTACTTAGTTACTGGCTGTCCATTATTTATGTGAGAGCAGGAAAGTCAGACAGTTGGATATTTTATGTTCTGTTTTTGTTTTAACTCTTTTTCTTGCTCTCTTCTCTCTTCTGTCTGTATTGCCATCTTTCATCTACAATGTGTTTTGCCTCTGTTGATTTTTGAAGTACCCAAACTATAGCAGAGAATATGCCAGGCTTCAATTAAAAAAAAAAAAAAAAAAAGTCAACGGAGAGTTCTATACATTTTTTATGACCTGGAAATCTCCCGAGACACCTTGAGATAGCTGAGATGTTCATCTAACCGGTGGATTGATTTTTTCCAGCTTCAAAGAGTGTCAGCTGGAAAGAGAAAGCTAGGTGGGAATATGGGACATGCTAATTTTACCCAAAGGGAAAGGAGACTGCACACCTGTTTATGGGCCCAAACAGAGAACACATGATCCTTTATAGGGCGTACTGCAAAGCCTGCAATATAGCAGCGCAGGCGGTGTGCGTGTTATTGTGAACACATGTTGCACGTGGAGTTAGCTGGGAAACAATTTTATCTGCAGAAAGCGTTTGTATCTTATAGGACACCTAATGGCTGAAACTTGTTGCCAGATTGTTGGTTTTTTTTCTTTAGTTTTCATCAGGAAATGAAATTCTGAGACACTGGGGAAAGCAGACCTAGGAAGAAAAAAAAAAAAAAATCTACAAAGCTTCTCCAAACCCAAACCAGTTATGCAGAGGGTTCCTAACTGCTCCGAAAGCCATCCCAAGCGCTCGCTGTAGGGTGAGTTGAGGTGGGCAGCCCTCGCTGCCTGCCCCCGCTGCCGGCAGCGCCCGGTGCCGGTGCCCGGGGAGCGGAGTTTGGGTCCCCGCCGGCCGCCAGGCGGCACGGGCGCTCCACGGCCGAGGGAAGCATCCCCGCTGCGAGCAGCTTTCGCGCTGCTTTGCCCTGGGAAACCGCACACACTCGGCTGGGAGGCAGGAGTGAGGTGGCCGCATCTCTCCGCGCCGGCTGTGGCTTGTGAGCCTTTGCTTCTCGTGCGCTGCGCGTCCTGGCGCGCATCCCGAGCTGTGGGAGCCGGGAGATCCCGGAGTTTGGAGAGCCGTGTCCTCACCCGGCAAACAAAAAGGCAGCAGTACGAGGAGCTTGCCGTTTGGAAGTGGGGTGCACAGCCTCGCTAGGAGGAGGGGGAGGCAGCTGGGCAGCAGGCAGCTTGCTCTCCTTCGCCCCGGCTCTGCAGGCTGCTTGGACGTGCTGCAGCAGCGATGGCCTGGGGCTCTGCTGGCCACTAGCACACAGCCTCACTACCTACCCCCAGCGCTGATGAGGACAGGTCTCAGCCACCCTACACTCCCTGTGCCAAGGATCTGGCCATCAAGCTATACAAGGGTGTAAGCGCCTCCCCTGTCTGAACCTCCTGTTGATTTGTGCTTATTACCTACCTACATTCCCCCCCCAGCTGTGCAGTTAAAATGATGGTTTTTCTCTTACTGAAGTGAAGTGAGAACAAGGTTGTGAAAGGTGAGAGATGCAAGATGGGTTACTGAGGCAAGGAGAGGGGAGTGTGGTCACATTTCAAACTCTGCCAGTCACTCAGTGACTTTGCTGTCAAACCAGGGGTGTCGCATCCTGCCCCAGGATGGGGTCACAACGCTGTCTAATGTTGACAGTCTCTCCCCAGTCTCCAGAGTCATCCATATTTTGTGTCTTATCAGGTTTTAAAATTCATTTTTGTTTTGCACCGTACCTCGGGAGCAGCCCCGGTGCTTCCCCAGCCGTCTTTTCGCCAAGGGCCATCTGCAAACTGCCCACAGCGATGGAGCACCCCCGCAGCACCCCACGGAGAGGCAGAGCAGGCAGGAGGTTCAGGAGCTCTCTGTGCCTTAAGGAGGCTGCACGGGGTAAAGCACCATTACAGGAAATCTCCTGCAAGTGACAGCAGCTTAATTACATGCTGGATGAGGCTAGAATGCTTTGTGCCTCTGACAACGGTTTGGAATGCCTTATTGCCAGCCTTCTCCAGCTCTAATGTGCTGCTGTGTAAAGGGCAGAGAGCCTGGGATCAATGCTGCCCTCCCCTCAGCGCACACACCTCGTGCTGGTCCTGTTCTCCCCAGGACACCTGCAGAGAGGATGCGGGTGGGCATCTTCCCCCTCCCCTGCACAGGGTGACTGCTGCAGATCAGCCCCGGCACCTCCAGGGGAAAGGAGGAGCTAGTGTGGTATCTTCTACTGCCAGCTCATGGGCGTGGGGCTAGGCTTGTGCCCCCAAATTTGCAGGATTGACTGAGGGAGTGCATTTGCACTTTGAACACAAATTCCAGGGCAGCTGTTGGTGTGTCTACATCCTTCCCGGGCAGAAATACCGATCGCTCCCTTGAAAATGCTCTAGAAATCTCTATGGAAGCCCAGCTTATGCATTGGGTTTGGGGTGGTTTCTCCTGGCAGAGAATTTGCCTGGGAGTTGTGGCTGTGGGGCTGGGTACCCCTCTTTGATGTTCCTTGATTTCCAGATACCAGCTCTAGTGAGCAGCTTTGAAATTTTTACCGAGACAAAACTCCCCTTTGCCTTGAAGAGGCCATCCAGCCTTGGGCACGAATTCACAATTGCTTGCAGTAGGAAGAGCTCGTTCTTGTTAGCGTCAGGTTGGTTTGGTTGGGTGGTTTTCAGATTGAGCCAAGTGGTTATTAAAATGGATGGTGCTCCTGTGCTGGCAAGCTGTCACCTCGTGGCGCGCCCACTTCTCCCGCAAGCATGCTTTGCCTGCCCGCCTCCCAGGCTCCCAGGGCAGAAGATACGCCAGCAGAAAATTTTCCGTCTAGCCAAGTGTTTGTCTGAAATGTCCCAGCTACTCTGGGTTGATTAGCATCTTTCTTCTCCATGCCTTTTCTGTGTTCGCTTGTTACCCTCACATCTGAAATTGAACGGTAAAATATTTGTAATGGAAAGACAGCCGCGTACGGTGTCAGATTTTCACTGTGAGCGCCACTCTTAGTGAGCATGTGATAGCTGGGGGTGTCACCGTGTTCAAATAATAAGGTGTAGCGAGGCAGGACATCACGTGCTCCGGGGTGAATTAAGTACCTCGCCTGGGTGACAGAGAGGGACGGCAGTGACAGGGGGAGTGCACAGGACAGGGCTGGTCTGACAGCAGCAGGGGTGTGGGTGTTGCGAGCATCCTTGCCCCCACCACACAGCTGCCCTGGCAGGGCATGGAGCAGGGGCTGGGCAAGGAGGACTCAGCCTGGCCTTGTATGCAGTCATTCATGTCATCAGTTGTGGTTTTTTGTTGTTGTTTTTTCCCTAAACAGGCACTTTGTATGTATAGCAGGTATGGGATGAGGCTAAACACGTACCCGTGTTTCCGTGGCAGTTACACAGAGCACCAGGAAACCCTGCCGGCAGCTGATCAGGAGACCGAAAGGAGCACAGGAGCCACCAGGCTGCTGGCTCTTCCAGCCGTCCTCATTGCCAGGAGGGTTTTGCTTTAGGAGAGGTCGTCTTGTCCTACTACCAGCATTTGCCTCAGTGATAGCAGGCTGGCACCATTATATAATTTGGGATGGGAAAATAGGCTTTCAGTTAAAAGTTCAGCTGGCTTAGTAGTCTCCCCTAATGACAAGTGGGGGACATGGGTTTTTCAAGGTTGTGCAACACGTTCAGATGCCCTGAACAAGCAGCAACCTTGGATCTTCCTACAGAGGGCAATGGCATGGGCATAACTGGGTTCTATTTTCATCTCTTCCTGTGGCATCCATCTGAATGCAGGTCAGTTTACAAATCTCAAACAAAACAAAAGATTTCTTTAAGTGCCAGTGCTACTTCACCCTGGAAATGATATGAATATTAAGTTTGTTCTGCATTTTGCATCCCTGCCAGACGACAGATCCTGCAGGCAGAAATTACCAGCAGATTGCAGTGGGGCGGCAGGAGGCAGAGCCCACTCCAGCTGCATGAGCTCCGGAGGTTTCCTGTTTGTGTGCCTAATGTCACACTTCTGCAGGAATGGTTTGAATAAGAAATGTATCACTTCTTAAAGTCACTTTTCTGATCTTTGCCACGTTATAATGGTTTGGTGTAAAGTCTATCACACCTTCCCCTGAAATCATGCTAAAGGGAGAGTCTTCTGTGAATTCAGCTAGATACTGGGTTAGGCTTTGTCATTTTGGACTCTGCCTGGGCTTATCCACAGTCTTACTTATATCTCCCTTTGTCTTTTCTCTCCACTTTCAATTTTTGTCCATTACAGGTTTTGGTTGGCTGTCCAAGATCTGAAAAAACAACCTCTACAGGATGTGACCACCAGAGTGGAGGAAATCTGGCAAGAGTTCCTAGCTCCTGGGGCCCAGAGTGCTATCAACCTGGATTCCCACAGCTATGAGAAAACAAGCCAAAATGTCAAAGACCCAGGGAGATACACATATGAAGATGCACAGGTTTGTTTTTGATTGTACAGAACTACTGCTAATAAAACTCTCAGTTTTACCGTGATATTCCACTATCACATTGTCACTGCTCACTTGTAAGAAAAAGGAGAGGCACAGTTGGAAGTGACTTTGAGGATATCTATTCAAGCTGGGCAAATGATATTTTCTTTGAATCTATCAGTTATAACAGGGCTAATGCTCCTCTGGGAACAGATGTTTGAAAATTTACAAGTCTGCAAGGCGCAGTGAGCTGGAGCCATGTCTCAAAGAAAGCAAAGATGAAAGAGTGCTATAAAGTTCAGTTGGGCTCTCTACTCCCTGTCACAACAGTCTGTCATATTTACAGAATGGTTGATATCATATCAAAATGCTGATTAATACTCTTGTTCTATCATTTATTCCTTTATAACTAATTGTATCTCCCCAGCCAAACCCCAAATGCAGCATCTCACTCCAACACGACTAGAAACTTGTCTGGCAGACAATGCCTTAGAATAATGATAGGACAGTAAGCAATGCAGTGAGCTTAATCCTTCCCTCCTAAGGGCCCTAGATTTATCAGGGAAATTTTACAGATAAACTGTATACAGAAAATGCCTTTAGGAAAACAGATAATCTGTGAAAAACTTTTACAAGCCAGGATAAAGCTGCACAACCTTCTGAAAAAGTGAAAATGTCATTTTATAAAGGCTAAAAATGGACAAAGGAAGAAGGGATCATTTGGCAAATATTACTAGAGACACAATTATAAGATATTCTCCTTAAAATATTCTTTATCAAAAGCATGTAGTAAAACCAACAACAAATGAAAAGAATCCTTGATCTTATATTTTCTTTAAATTTTCATTCAAAGGCAGTTCTTCAAAATACTCCACTAACAAAATATTTCTGTCTCAGGGGAGATGTTGAGGACCATTTATACAAGGTTAGGTAATGAATTTTTCAAACCAGCAACAAATACTATATTTTCCTGAATGCAATCCTGCTCCTTGGGGCCCGTGTAGAAGGAATGTACGCAGAGTCTCAAGGCAATCCCCTGTGAATATCAGACAACGTAAATGTTCTTTTTAAAGCTGAGAAACACAGGAGTATAAACACATTCTGGCTAAGATGTTGTGGGGTTTTTATTTTGTTTTTGTTTTTGCTTGCTGTTGTAGTGAACTAGAACTCCTGTAAATTTACATTACCTGAAAAAAAAAAAAAAAAACGGTAAAATGCAGACTAAAGAAGATAGGTGAATAATGGGGGAATTGATTAAATAGATAAGAAGAAGTACTGAGAATAAGATGGATGTTTAGGCAATGAGTATTTAATCAGAAGAAGACACTGAGGATTTAGGCTTGAACCTATCTGTTCACAATGTAATTGCCATTCAAAGGGGAGTTGATGAAATCACGCCAGAGCTCTTGCAGTTCAACTGCAATTTTAGCTCCTTGGGTTAATTTTATTTCAGAGGATTTTTATGCTGACTGATGTCTTCAACTCATCTCTTTGGGTTCGTGGAAACAAATACAAAGCAAAGATAGACCTTCAGGCCCAGCTGTGATTGTCTCAGAGACAGTGTCTGCCACAATAGGATAGCTGGTGAAGGTGGAAGGTGAGCTTGGTTCACCTGCTTGTGCATCGCAGTGGACTCTGGTAGCTCCACAAAGGCCAAGCAAGGTGTTTCTGATTGCTTGACTGGATATCTAAGGCTAACAAAAGCAGAGACAAAATGGACATTGCCAAATTTCCTAGTGCACATTCTCTTTGTGGCAGCCCATGTAGGTCCTCCTAAGTCTCTCAGGTGTCCTTCTGGTGTGTCCCCCAGGTCAGCCCCACTGCCTCGAGGACTCCGCTGTCTCACGAGTCTGCAGCTGGTGGTAGCCCAGCTGCCTTATCTCGGCACGCTGGCACCAGGAGCCCATGGGAGCTCGCACACATCCCACATTCCTAGGGATTCAACCAGACACAACCAGTCAAAACAACCCTCTGTGGGAGGGAAAATATGAGTGTTGTCCCTGTCCTGTGTAGCTTTAGCAAAAAGAGGAAAACAACACAAATGTCCTTGTGAATAAAGGACAAGAAAAAATTAGTTTACTGAACAGCACATTCCTTAAATGCCTGCAACTCTGAGACACGAAGACTAAGAGGAAAGAAAAGGGTTGGCTTTTCCTGAGAAAGGAAATTGCAGCTCCTGCAGTGGAAAAATAGGACAAAGTGATGTTGCACCGTAGCCCTTACGCTGACCTGGGAGACTCACAAAATGCCAGTTGTATATAAAAGGGATTGAGAACGAACACACTGGGAAGGGGAATGTGCAGCAGAGCACAGTATTCTTCAGGCTAGTAACTGCCTTATAGCTCTAAGTTGAAAGCAAAGCAAAGCATCATCTGTTATCAGGTGTTTAACAGTCTGCAAGGATGGGCTGCTTTGCACAACCTTGGCTCCCAGCCCCAGAGAGCTCTCCCAGATGCTGTACATCCATGAAGGCCAACACAGAAGGCAGTAGAGATAAATCTGGTAAGACAACCTGAAGGAAACGGGGAGAAAGGGGGCTCCGGACAAACATGCCTCTCACGTGAAATCTCTTCATCTTAGGCCACTCAAGCTCTGAAGGCAAATGGTGTCTATAGTCAAAAAAGTGACACTGAAAATCACAGCAGCACACGTTTTGCTCTTTCCCCATCTCAGGGTATGAGATCTGCCCTGTTAGTGTCCCTTGCTGCTGCTGTGCCCTGCAGCCCTGCACCTGCTCTGCTTGCCCAGAGCCACTTTCTCCTGCTGGCCTTGCCACCCCTGTGCCCCCATGAGCTGTGCCAGCCCCCCTGGCCACACAGCCCCTCACACACTCCTCATCCTCCAGCAGCACTGCTCCTGCTGCTGGCTCTGCCAGCTACCTTCACCTGCAGCACCTTCTGTCATTTGGGTGCTGGGCCCCTCCAGAGGAGAGCCTAGTCATTGAGCTGATTATTTTCTGCTCTTAAACAACTGTCCACTGAGTAAAATATTATGATTATCAAACCATTTTCACTTGGGAGTGAAGCAGCTTTTAATACATGGGGCACTGTCGGGAAAGGTCAGTTCAATTAAACATTGAACTACTTAGCAGGACTGGAGCTCCCCAGGGAGTTATCAGCATCGCTGTGCAGCCCATGTGGGGACCTGCAATATGAAGCAGGCACAGCCAGCTTTGGAAAGTAAACAGGCTCAGCTCCATCCAAATGGCCTCTTTCGGCTGATGGAGCTGCTGACAGACCAACTAATTCATCTTTAACATGGGAAACCAGAGCTGTATGATGATTACAGCTTATCTGTACCACATATTAATTTTTTAACAGTTTTTCCTCCCCTCTCCTGAAATATTTTTCTGCTTTTAGAATGTCTTTAATCCCTGCCTCAGTCCCATCAGTCCCATAGACCTTGGTACTGTGAGCTAGTATTGCAGGGATGTGTCCTGTTGCCCAATATTGATGTTTGCTTGTAGGGGCATCACAGCCAGGCATACTAGAATAAGGTAAGCCACTGTAGTTGTCTTTGCAATAATTTTTCTACCTGCTTTGTTTATTTTTCTTCTTTAATAAATGAAATAATGTTTTAGATTGATGTTCCTCTACCTGAACTGATCGGCTATGTTTTCTGTGAAGATGATTCAGGGAAATTCAGTTCTAATCCAGGCTCAGTTAGGGATTTTGACTGTACTATGCAGATCCTTGGCTAATTCCAGAGCAGATTTAGACCATAATGCCAAATTATGAGCTGCTCAAACCAGAAATGTAGCTGGCCCAGATCTGGGCCCAGTTTGTGCTCTCAGCATCCCCAGGTGGTGTCCGGTTGTCCTGGGCTGTAACAGGTCGATGAGCCCTTGCAGGATTTGTCAGCAGTCGGTCCTCAGGTTTCATTCTGGTCTTATCAAGGCGCTGTGAGTGTTGATGTGAGGTGACAGGACACTTGAATTTAAAAACGAACTCCAAGTGAGAGCAAGGATCTCTTGGAAGTGGAATGTCATTCTCTAAGAAGGCAAAATGAGGGGTGACCTTTCTTCCACCGACTAAGGTTTGTTTTCAAGCATGTACAGGATGTAAAAGCAAGCATATACATGTACAGCAGCACATGCATGGTGCCTACTCACTGAGCATACAGAACTCCTTTTGTAGGTCTTGAGCAAACTCCCAGCATGGAAAGACAACACTGAAAATAATCATTCATTGTGTGCATCTGTATTACCTTTGTGTGAGAACTTAGGGGAAATGTCAGTGGTATTTTCTTGAAGTTTCACCTAGTCACTCTGGTTACCTGCACAGTCTGTAAAGGAAGGTGTCTCAGGATGGCAAACTGAGGTAGCTCCAAGCAGCTCTGCTTGGCAGGAAGGCAGCCAGGAGGGGATGTGGGGCAGACCCAGGTGTCCAGCTTTGACAGATGTCTTGAGTCCAGTAGAGCCAGTGCTACTTAGCGACCTGGTGCTTGTGCTGCAGGGAATTAAAAGGGCTGCTGTGGTGTGGGCACAAAGCTGCAGTGTGGTCAGGTGTCCTGTGCCTCCCGTGAGCTGATAGCTTTGCATGATGCTCATTCATGTGTCCCAGCAGGATGACTTTGACCTGAGTCTTGCACTGGGTTGTGCTACCATGCACTAGGCCTCTGCTCTGGAGAGCAGATTGCTTTGTGGCTTAATTTGGCCTTTTGCCCTCTGAGCCATCTTAAGATTGCGAGTCCCAGGGCTTGGTGTGTGCTTGGGGCTGAGGCCTCAGCAGCCAGTGCATCACTGTTGCTAGTTCGCTTGTCACACGTCCAAACAAGAATGCAAGTTCTTTTCTTTGTGGATTTCCCAGAACAACCTGCAACTGAAACTGAATCTGAAACGAAGAACCCCACAAGTACACCCATAAGAGCAATTAGGTGCCTGCAACAAAAATAGGAAAGCGATCGTGGAGGGTTTTGCTGGTGTGCCTGATGCTGCACAAAGCAGGAAATAAAAGACTCAAAGCAGAGGTCAATATAGGAGCAGGTATTCAGTGTTCCTACTTTACTGA